ATTTGATACATTTTGTGGAGATATTTAATTCTTCCCCTGTAGTGATCCTGGTTTTGACTCGTCTCTGTGTGGTGTTCCGGGCTTGGGTTGGTATGGTTTTGAACAGTGTTACGTATCTTAATTTCCCTATATTTCCCTTATTTTGGTTATTGGGTTGTAGTGGTGTGTTTGGAACAGGTAATGTCTCCAAACCTTTAGATGCGAATCCAGGCCGAATTGTGCCTTGCAGAGTTGTATCAAAAATGCAAAATGCATTCGAAGTTGCTTGTCTGCTCGAGCGACCGTTTATGCGCTCGAGCAGAGAATGTTTGGTTCCAGAAGTTCGACCTGTCTGCAAAAGTACTGGGAAGGTGTATTCGACGCTCGAGTGGAGCTTTCTGCACTCGAGCAAGAGGCTATGTCTCACACTCGAGTGGGGCTTTCCATGCTCGAGCAGACCATGTTATATCAGTTCGTGAATCTGATATTTCAGATCACTTTTTTAGTTCTCTCTCTCGAAAACTCTCCAGAATTTCAGATCTAGAGCTTCTGTCTCTTGAAGTCATCTTCTCTCTCTAGAAGTCATCTTCTCTCTTTGATTTCTCCAAGTCCATTGGGATTTAGACCTAAGTTCTTCACCAAAGTTGGTTGTCATCTCGAGGGCTTCGTTGTGTCTCGTGGAGATCGAGTTTAGGCATCATTGATTTTGGGGTTTCATCTCAATCCTTCTTCAATACTTGAGGTAGGGATTTTCTTAGAGTTATATATACATTTGCAAGATCTAGATGATTTTCGGAATCATCATTCGATAGCTTTAAAAATTGATTGTTGATTCAAGAAGTTGAGTGATTTTGAAAGTGGATTTGTCTCTTGTTCTTTTAAAATGATCTTATGGGTTTTGATCTTCGTTGATTGAAGAAAAGATGTGTAGCAACCCTCACCTTACTCTTGTCATACTTGCATACATTCATGCGTGATCTTGTCTTGTTATGTTGTTTTGCAAGTTTTGCCTTGTCTTGCTTTGTTTAAGTATTGCTTGCATGATTTTTGTTCCTTGCTTGGTGTGTAGCCGAGGTCATCTTGAGCTTAGTTCACCTCTGAACCTTTATGCTTAGAACTGTTTTGGAACCACTTGGTCGACCCCCATCTTCACCCGGGCATGTTTTCCGAGATGTTTTGCACTTAGTGATCCTTGTCCTTGGGCAGGTATGGCCTAGACCGAGGTGTGGCACACCCCGGCCAAGGTGTGGCACAACTTAGTCAAGTGCCGTCCTCCCTAGCTGATGTCTTTGTTACCCTGTTGCCAAAGCTTTGACTTAAGCCGATGTCATTACTTGCCAATGTGCCTTGCCGTCTAACTTGTTGAATACACTTTGTCATAGACTTGTCTCATCAATCAGTCACCTTTTGAGTTGAACCAACCCGATAGCGCCACGTGTCCGACCTGAAGGTTAAGTCAGCCGGCAGGCCTGTGAACAAATCATTTTGTCTCAAATCTTTGCCTTTAGAGAGAGAAGCTCTAGAGAAAGGAGGAGAAGTTCTTGAGTGAGAATAGATCTTCCAAGCTTGATCTTCGAGGTTTGAACCGTTGGATTCGAGTTTTGAGGTTAGAATCTTAACCTACTCTTGTTGTTCTTACTGATCATCTAGCTGCATTGCATGATCGAATCTGTTTTGCATGTTATGCATCGATTTGAAGTTGGTTTTGGAAGAGAAAGACAGTATTCATGTGTTTTTGAAGAAAAGTCTTGTTTTGATCCGGAAGTTTGGAACAAGAACCGTGTTTTTGTGTTTGTTCTTGCATGACCTTCTTGTATGGGTACCCAGGTCCATGTTTTGAACTCATGGCATGAAATTTCAGATTTTTGTAACAAGTTATGACCTTGCATTCATCTTCCTCGTGATCATGTTCATCATGTTCTTCATGTTCTTCAAAGGGAAACCCAGGTTTTCCCGACTTTGTTTTTGAATGAGGCCATCGGACCACACCTCGGCAAGGAGGTGTAGGACCTCGGCAAAGACCTGGTTGGTACCCAGTGTGTTTTCATGAGACGGAAGCTGTGTTTAAACTCCCAGCATGTTTTGCTTTGTTATTGACTTGGATCTGGTGAGAATGCCGGGATCATTTGCATGCATATAAGGCTTGTTTTGAGAATGTGATTTTGCCATGTGATTGTAGGACCTTGATCTTTGCTTTGAGCCTGCACCTGAAGAACTAGGTGAGTGGTATTTCTAATAAAGTTATGTTATATTGTTTTGTTTTGATAAATCTTGCTTTGCTTTGTTTTGACGAAAGTATTTGTTAAGCATGAATGAATAGCCCTGTTTTGATGTATCAAGTATATGCTTTGTTTTGATGTCATTCTTGAAAAGTCCCTTGTACTGGAGGACTCTAAACTTTCGCAGTACCAAGTATAAAAAGTCCCTTGTGCTGGAGGACTCTAAACTTTCGCAGCACTAAGTATAAAAGGATACGGTCCTTTCTTGGAAAGACTATTGTGTTAAAACGGGCTACGGGCCTAAGTAACACACGACCATCGTGTTAAAAGGAGCTACGGGCTTAAGTAACACAAGTCCCTTGTGCTGGAGGACTATAAACTTTCGCAGTACCCTTGACTAATCGATTACGGATCATGCAGTCTTTGTTTTGCCACTGACGGTTTACCACGTGGACTTGTTATTCGGAAAGCTTGATTTGTGTTTTGCCGATGCCAGTAAGCATCCCTTGAGACTTGTAAGACTTGATAGATGAATACGGTTCATCTCTTGTTTTGATAAAGTTTTGATGTGTTTTGCTCTGAAAGGATCTCGGCTAATATTCGTATGGTTTTTGGCATGTTTCATTTTGAAAGACTTCGGCTATATTCATGCAAAACCTTTATTACTAGTACCATTCACTGAGTATCCAAGCTCACCCTCTCTATAGATATGTAGGTGATGAGCAGGACATCGGCGACGCCTAGACTGTGTTTTTGAAAGCTTGTTATGGATCCATGATTTTGTCGGCTTTGTTTTGTATTTACGTCGGCGATGTCATTTTGCCTATGTCGGCGAATCTTGAAAATCATGCTTCTTGACTTGTATTCACTGCATTTTGTATATGTCGGCTCGAGAAGCCTTTTGATCGAGATGTAATACGTATTTTACTTTGTTGTATTCAAATTGTAAAGATGTATGCCATTTCATTGGACTTATGCACTGCTCTTATGGACCACTCGTATTTTGATTTATTGCTTCCGCATTTGTGAGCCCTGCATACTATACTCTGATTGTGTTAAACTTTTGAAAGTTCGCCTTCGGTAATCTCGGATTATTGGCCATCACAGCACCAAACTACTAGGGGCGGTTTGGGGTCTTGACAAGATGATTTCTGAAAGTTTTCTTTCAAAAGATTTGAGTTGTACAGTTTTGGTAAGAAAACCTAGAAATTGGGGATTTTTAAAACAAATTGAAAATCATGAATGATATTATTATATTTATTTTGTGTGTCAAAATAAATGGATGTTTGGAAAAATTTCTTATTTATATTTATATAAATGATGAATTTCATGCAATATGAGAATTGTTGTTCATTTTGGAAATTATTGTTCAAAATGTTGAAATAGTCTTGAAATGACTAATTGTTGAGGATACTTGAGAAGAGGGAATTGTGTTATTCCTTGGATGATGAATCGGAATAAAAGTATTTATATTCATCTTGTGAAATTGGCATATCAATTCATTTGATTATATTAAACTTTGAAAGTTGATTTAAAAGCTTGCATTGAGAAAAGAATGTTGAGAAACAAGTTTTCATGGAATGGTTTTGGGGTAAATACGTTGGTAAGTCTTTATAGGTGGTGTAGATGATAGTGAATAAGTTGGCCTGAGAGTCTAGGGTGAAAGACCGAAAACCGCCCGGATAGGTGTCGAGCCTTCCGGTTAATACTGGTCAAAATGATAATTTGATAGTACTTGTATAGTCTGCTTACAGACACTAACCTAGGGATTACCAGAGTCGTATTTACTGCCCTTGAAATAAATTGTCAAGTTTTGAACAATTGAAATTGCATGACATCATTGAGCATGATGGTTTTCAAAAGATGAAAATGTGATTTACTTTCAAAAAGTGGCATAGCATGACATGTGTATTTCATCTATTGAGACTTGTATAAAATGTATATATTTTGATAAGGATTTCCTACTGGGCTTTATGCTCACCCTACGGGATTTTTGTGTAGGAAAATATGTGGTGATCCCTCCTAGTTAAAGGCAAGGAAATATGTGTTAAGAGTACAAAGCTCTCATTTTACTGTAACTCTGTTTGTAAGCCAACAGTTGTATTTGTGTGGGTTTGAATAACCATTTTGTGTAACCAGGCCTAAGCCTTGGAAATTTATAAACCCTTGGGGCTATCTATTTGTTTATGTTATTTTGACTTGATATGAATGTATTATCGCCTGAAGACTATTTGTATCATGTAATGCAAGCGTGGGGACTTATTTTTAGTTTTAATTACTTTAAAGAACCATAGTTATCGTATTATCATTTGGGTATAAAAATTGGGGTGTTACATCCCCATTATTATAGGATTGTGTGTAATTAGTAGTTATTGAGGTTAGACTATAGACATTTTTTATATACTTACATTGAATTTAATGAATAAAATTCTTTTTTATTTTTTTCTATTTTACTAGATGAAAATATATAAATCATTTAGATTAAAAATAAATTAAGAAATTAAAAGTTTAATTAATAAAACTAAAAAGATTTACTTATTAATGCAAATTAGTATATGCTTTCAAAAATAATTTTAAATTAATAGTAATATTTATTAATTTTAATAATTAAAGCTATAAATTTCTTTTGAAGAATTTATAAATATTTTGTCAACAACTCTTCCTCTCGCTCTTTCTCTGTCTCACACACTGTCTCTAGGGTCTTTTGGGAAGTAAGAAAAAAAGCCAGCTTTTAACTTTTTACCCATTTTGGTCTCTCTCTCTCTCTCCCACACACACACTCACACACCCAGCTTGAAGAAGATGTCAAGAAGAGTGTCTATTTCTTCCATTATTGGACGACGAAGAAGAGGAAGAATTGTTTATCATAATTGTCAAAAAGGTACAATATTTCCCTCTCTAATTAATCATCCCTCCTCATTCTTATTTCTTTTGTTTCGTTCTTTCTCTACTACTACCCGAAACCCTAGTTCTCCTCCTATAAAATGCAATGATCTCCAAGACGCTATAAATTCGTTCAGTCACATGATCCAAATGCAACCTTTGCCCCACATTTCTCATTTCAACAAAACTTTACGTCCTCTTTTGAAATTGGGTCATTACGACATCGTTCTTCCTTTTATTGGGAAATTCCATTTTCTAGGCATTTCGGTCAATATCTACACCTTCAACATTGCTATTAACTGTTATTGTCGCCTGAATCAAGTCAATTTTGGGTTCTCTCTTTTGGGTACGCTCTTCAAACACAATTGTACACCAGATGTAACTACCTTCAACACTCTATTAAATGGACTTATTTTGGACAATAAAACCCCTGAAGCTATAGAGTTATTTAAGAAATTAATGAGAATAAGAGAAATTGAACCCAACATGGTTATGTATGGAACCATTGTGAATGGGCTCTGCAGAATGGGGAACACTATCAGGGCTGTTAGTTTGCTTAGGATAATGGAAGAGGGAAGTTGTAAACCTAACACCGTAGTGTATAACACGGTCATTGACAGTCTTTGCAAGGATAAAATGGTGGATGTTGCTATGAAACTCTTTTTTGAGATGAATGAACAAGGCATTCGTCAAGATGTTGTCACTTATACCTCTTTGATTCAGGGCCTATGTAATTTTGGCTCGTGGAAGGAGGCTACCGGAATGTTTAGAGAAATGTTGGATAGTGGTATTGCTCCGAATGTTCATACGCATAATGTGTTGCTAGATGCATGTACCAAGGAAGGGAAGATGACAGAGGCAGAGGTGGTACTTGAAATCATGATACAAAGAGGTGTGGATCCTAATGTAATCACATACAATGCTCTAATGGATGGATATTGTTTGCAAGGTGACATCGATGAAGCAATGAGAGTGTTCAATACAATAGTGGATAGGGGCCTTCACCCTGATGTTTTTAGCTATACCATTCTAATCAATGGATATTGCAAGAAAATGAAAATAGATGAGGCTATGCATCTCTTTTGAGAAATGCCTCGGAGGGAGTTGTAACCTAACACCGAAACCTTCAGTGCTATGCTACAGGGTTTGTTTCGATCGAGTAGATGTGGAGCTACTCAAGAACTTTTTAATGAGATGCACGATGTAGGAATAATTCTAGATTCTCAAACTTATGGTATCTTATTGGATGGGTTGTGCAAAAATGGGCATATTTCTAAAGCATTGTCATTATTCCACATGATGGAAACGAATGGTTTAGATCTTAATGTTGTTATGTACAGTATTCTCATTGATGCATTCTGCAAGTATAAAAAGCTTGATACTGCAAGGGCTCTTTTCAGTAATCTTTCTTCCAAGGGATTAGATCCTAATGTTAAGACATACACTATGATGATACAAGGTCTTTGCGAAGAAGGCCTACTACATGACGCTAAAGAGTTGTTTGTTAAAATGGAAAAAAAATGGTTGCTTGGCAGATGATGTCACTTACAACACTATTATCCGAGGATATATTGGACAACACAAGTGCTATGAGGCATTAATACTCGTTCAGGAAATGGTTCAAAGGGGTTTTTCGATAGATGCATCCAATTCTTCCTTGATCATAGATATACTCTCAACTAAAAGACAAGATCCTACTCTTCGAGAAGTGATAAAGAAGTTCATGCCAAAAGATAGTCATGGAATGCATGCTATTGAGTAAATTTCTTAAGATGTGAAGGTAAAGATACACACATTAAAATATATATTATTTGGTGAAACTATTCTTCTTCTTTTTTTTTTTTTTTTTTGGTTATATATTGACGTGGACTAATACTTCTCCATTAACTATTTTGGACTTGTTGCTACATGACTTTGCAACTTCTTTTCACATGTTGTAGATTCTTATAGACTATTTGTTACCTCTCTCTGCAATATTTTAATTCACATGTTACAAATTCAAGTAGATTCTTTTTCAGTCCCCGCTGAATTATGTACAAGTGGTCATTTCTTAGGGATTTAGGACAAATGACAGTCAGTGGTACTTTTGGAGATTTGTTTCTTTCTTTGTCATTATTCCACATGCAGGAGCTTGATCTTTGCTGTTTGTTTCCTCATAGAAGGCAAAAGTCTAAGCTTAATTCCTCATCATTACATCCCAAGGGTAGCAGCCTTTTTGAGGACCACAAGCATAAAATTATTATTATTTTTATTTGAGTAAATTACACATACACTGACCTCCCTTGAGGTTTCTGACAATTTCAAAATCTGCCCTTGTGATTTTTTAAATGACTTATGACACTGCTATGTTAACGGAAAACATTTTTTTTTAAAACTATTTTTCTGGTAGTTATAATGTTATATAAAAGTCATTTTTATCGTCAAATTCAGTAAATTTTGAGAAGACAAATATACCCTGAATGACTCACTCAATTTATCAGCCGAAGCCATCCATTAGAAACTCAGAAAAGCTTTGTTTCATCTATTTGTTTGAACTCCTATATCTGTATGTATGTGTACATAGATATATATTTGAAACTATAGTAGGATTCTTGTTTCATTATTGTTTAATGGATATCTTGTGAATTCATTCTATGTTCCTTTTGGCTTTCTCTTTGCCTTACAGTACATTCATCTGGAACAATAAGACTCATGTATGCTAGTTGATTGTCAGCATTTGGATGCCGCTTGTGCTCATAAACATGTAACCAATTCATACATCTTAATTATTGGTAGTTTCTAATTTCTATTCCTGGGAGTCTCTTCAAGATCTGATTGAAATATTAGAGCTTGAAAAATGCTCTGAATTTACCCAAGTAGATTGTCTATAGCCATTATGGTGATCTGGAGTTGCAAGGCTATAGAAATTGCATCTTTGAACAACTCCAACATTACAAGGAAAAAGATTAGAAAAAGAAAAAGAAAAAAGGAAACATGTTACATAATAAGAATCGAGTTTATGTATTTAGAAATTTGATTTCTTTCTCTCCCCCTCTCTCTCTCTCTCTGCAGGTAAGAACAAAGAGAATAAATTTAAATTCAAATAATCCGATGAATTTACTACCATTCCTTTTTCTTCTAAGCAATTCATATACTGTAATATTTGCATATCATTCTACTGATATTTATTGAAATCTATGATGTAATTGAAGGGCATGCAATGGTGGTTTATCAATTGCAGAAATATTCCATTATGCGAGGAAGAAAATTTGCACATTTAGCTACAAATTCACCATCAGGGTTTAGTATTACATTACCTATGTTCTAGAAATTAATAAAAACCCTTCAGATTTCATTTGAATGTCTAACCAATATATGTCTAATTGTGAGAGTTTCCTTTGTAGTAAAGGTTTTGTGATGCAGTAATGTTACGATTGGCTTAAAGGTAACTTTGCTGGCCCCTTAACCCACAAATAAATAAATAAAATAAAATAAGTGATCTTCATTTGTCACCCTTTTGACTAAGAGCTAGTGGACTTCGTACTAAACTTATGTATTTTTATTTATAATTGCAAATATGCTAGTCTTCTTCTTCATTCTCTCCCAGGAGATTCCCATGTTCCATGCAAATGCTCAATTGATACATCGTTAAATAATAAATATAGATGCAGCTTCCGCCTAAAAACATACATCTATTTTGTGCAGGTAAGAGGGGTGAAATTGATGTTTCTGGGTTGATGTTGATAAAAGTTTTATGGCAACATCCTTCAATAGATCCGTCTTGTAAATAAACGTTCCCGGGTTTCTACACAAATAAGAGAACAAGTATTGATACTAAACTGTTTGACCATCAATCAGGGTGTCCATGGGAGTAACTTAGACCTTTTGCATTTGCAATGATTCTAAATGTAAATAATTTCCTTGGTAGAAATAGTATATACTTGGTATTCTTTTAGTCTCTACCCACTGAAGCTTTGAACCACTCAGCTTACCAGGCATAGCATGACAAGTTCTTTTTTTTTTTTTTTTTTTAATTAATTTATTTTGTTTTTAATAACTATTTGCAGCAAATTATGATCTCTGAAATGGTTCTTGGAGATTCTCTTTCTCTTATTTTTTATGAGAGATTGCTTATAAGAATTTTATTTTTATGAATTTATTGTTAGTTTAGATTTTTAAAATTGGTGACGGAATTTTTGTTGTATCGTTATCTGTCTTATTCCAAGCCTTCAAAGTAGCTTCAATGTTGACATGTCTGTCGTTTTTTTTGTTTGGGGTCTATGTATGAATGAAACATGGTTGTGCAAGAAATATATCTTTGGAAAGAACAAAAGGAAATCTTTTTGGGGACTTCCAAATGTTCTCAGGTTTACTTTGTAGATTTACATCTAAAATTGGTTTTTGAGTAGAAGTTTCATGTCCTCAAATTAGTATATCCTTTCAAATTTAGTATTTTCAACGATCGCAAACCAAAGAAATATTACATCATTTTTTATTTTGTATTCTTTACAATTTAGCTAGATTTTTGAAGCAATTTATGAAAAGTTAGTGAACATTTATCGCATTTATCTCATGCAATGGAGCTGTTAACACCGTTGTTAAAGAAGTTATGTATGAAAAGTTAGATGTTATTTATTTATTTATTTTTATCTTAAAAAAAAAAAAAGATACTCTGTGGTGTCATCATTGATTCACTACATCCGTGGATCTAGATTCCGGAGTAATCGATTGTCGGTTTGATTAAATCTAATCCAAAAGAAGGGACCCACCACCTGAGAACAATGGAACTCACCCTCCTACCACAGCCCATGCCCGAGGTTCGAAAAGTGGAGCACACAAGACCACAATCAAATGCTCCCTAGGGAATCGACCCCAGATCATGAGTGTGGAAGGCAAGTGCCTTATCCACGTTACCACCACCCCAGGTGGGGGAGCAGGGTCACTGTTGTGCAGTGTTCCCTGCTATGCCTAAAACGGCACAGCTTTAGTCTTTTTTTTTTTTTAATGTTTTCACTATGTTTTTTGGTGTGATAAATTACACTTTTTGTTTTATTTTATTTTAAGATTTAGGATTTAATTCTTAAAATTTATTTTTTTTTATTTTAAGGTTTAGGCTTTAGGATTTAATTCTTAATTTTTTTAATTTTTTATTTTAGGGTTTAGGGTTTAATTCTTAAAATTTATTTAATTTATTTTTTTATTTTAGGGTTTGGAGTTTAGGGTTTAATTATTAATTTTTTTTTATTTTTTTTTAGGGTTTATGGTTTAAGGTTTAGGGTTTAATTCTTAAAATTTATTTTTTTTTATTTGAGGGTTTAGGGTTTATGTTTAAGGTTTAATTTTAATTTTTTTTTTTAATTTAGGGTTTAGGGTTTAGTGTTTAGGATTTAATTTTAAAATGTAATTTTTTTATTTTAGGATTTAGGGTAAAGTATAATTTATCATGTCAAAAAACATAGTGAGAAGATGAAAAAAAAATAAAAAATAAAAAAAACAAGGATGAAACTGTGCCCGATTTAGGGGGGGAAAATGATTAAACAGTGCCGTTGGAAATCACGGCAGGCACAACAAGGACCGCAACACAGCAGGGACGCCGAGCTATTTCGCCAATCTTTGTGGAATCAAGAGACTAAAATATTATTTTTTCAAAAAGTAATCTAAACTCTATTCCAAACTTTATCATTGTTCGTTAAAAAATTATTTTAGTCCTGTTTCAGTGCTTTGCTCCACAACTTTTGATTTTTTTTTTAATTTTTAATTTAATTTAATTTTATTTGTATAGTATATATTCTCTGTATATTTACATATCATATTCTGTGTATTACCATAATTAGCTTTTCTCCTCCTATATAAAGGAGTATTGCGTACATTGTTAATTTATTCAACATAATACAGTTTCTCTCTCTCTCTCTCTCTCTCTCTCTTAGATATTGTAACATAGTATTAGAGGCTAGGGTTTCCTCCAAGCCTCCTCTTCTTCTTCACATTGTTTATGTCTTTTCGACAAACTGATTCATTCTCACGTTAGTTTCTGCGTATCTAGTCCTTCTTTGTTTCAATGATTGGACTATACCAAACTCTTTGTCTCTTCAAGAAGAATCCAAAGCCACTAAAATCATCTTCATCGAAGATCACACGCGCCTCCACACGCCTTCCAAAGTTTGGCCACGCGATGTGCCGCTGCCAAACGCGCTCTACTTGCCCTCTGCTCACGCTTAAGTTAGCGGCTGAGGCAAGTCCTCAACCGCCTCGCACTATCTTGTGCCACGTCCGCCTTTGCTATAATGAGCCGCGTGTTTCTGACGTCATCGCTGACGTCAACCCTAGTTTTCTTATTTGCCGCACCTCCTGCCTGCTATCTTGCGCCACACGCTCCTCTGCTGACGTACGCCGCGCGAATTCTAACACCAGCTCTTGCCGCTGACATCAACCCTATCCCCTGTTTGGCACTATTTCTTACTTCGGCCATTTTCCATCTATTTTTCACCCTATTTTGATTGTTTTTGCCCAATTCCTGATTGTTTTTGACCTTTCGGATTCATTGGTGCGCTCTGTTTTATCCAGTTCTACTCTGACACTACTGGTTCCTCTTTATGATTAATTATTTAATCACCTAATGGCTTGCTTAAATAGTTTTACTCATCATGGTAGCTATTCTGGACTCCCCACAACACACAAACAACATTAGTCTTGGTTTCATTTTGCCTCTTCTACAGTTGCCCCTAGCTAATCCTCTACTTCTGCACCTTTACCACCCTATACTCTTCAGGACATTGAAGTTAT